GTCAAAATAACGACCTTTATTTATTTGGAGCATTAAGCATTGGAGCACAATGACCCTAACATCGAATTAAGAATAGAAAAAAAAGTAACAAAATATTCCACTATGTTTTCAAATTTTTCGGTATGGTCAAAAATGACCCACTTAGTACTACTAGGGTTAAACAAATTTTTTAAGTTTTTTTCGGGTTTTTTGCCCTATTTTTAAAACTTCAATAAAAACTTCAGTTTTTGATATGAAGAGTTGATTCTAGCGTAGTTCGATAGAGAACATTAATTTGTATAAGGAGAAACCCTTTTCATCGTTCCCAAATGAAGTTTGCCGCAGAAATTTAGCGTTCGCCTTCTCGAGGAACCTTCAGAGCTAAAAGTATTTTTCACCTCGCCTTACGGCTAGTTTCGCTCGAAGCTGGCATTTCGAAGCAAAATTCTGAGTGGAAAAGTTGTTCAGAATCGAACTTTGGAGTCCCTGAAGAGAGCTTTTTCTTACAATTTTTTGTTTTTGATTTTAAATTAAAAAATACGAAATTTTAAAATTTTGAAAACCCAAAAATTTAATTTAAAAGTCAGAAACCGAAAATTTTAAAAAAAGGCTCTAGTCAGGGACTCCAAAATTCGACCCTGAACAAGTTTTACACTCAGAGTTTTGCTCCAAATTGCTTGGGTCGGGCTAAACTAGCCGTAAGGTTAAGTAAAAAAATCTTAGGTGAACTAAAAACCAGCGATACTTTCAAGTTTTGAATCTTTTCTTCGAGCCTTCCCGGTTTGTAGAGGACACTTCGAAGTGTATGTTTTTTCGGCTTAATGAAGTTATTTGGCTGAGAAAAAAATTAATTACTTAAACAATATTGTTAAAGTTTCGACTTACCAGACTTACCGAGCGACCAAAAACGAATTCTAAAATGTTTACAGTAGTCCATATTGTAGCCCGTGAAATTCTCTGTCAGTTGAGGTATTGCGTGAATCTTTTTGTTGCGTTACTATTTTACAAATAAGACTTTATGCTAGTAGAGTAGGCTAAATTAACGTTAATTAGTACTAATTAGTCAATACCAGGAGGGAAAGAACAAAAATTCTTGCATATTTTCTCGTAATAAATATTCTCCATACATTTCTCTATCGATATAGGCAAGAACCAAGCTTTTGTGATGAATGGAGGATGGACAGGAATTTTTTTAATAATAATCCCTTGTTCAAAAATTTAACAATATATTTTTAAGTAATTAATTTTTTTCTCAGCCAAATAATGTTAGTAAGCCGAAAAAACTTCAGGACATATACTTCGAAGTGTCCTCTACAAACTGGGAACGTTGGAGTAAAATCTAACTGGGGGACTCCCCCTTAAGAGAGACTTCGCCAGTCAATCGAGTATCTTGTCAAAGACCAGTCACGAGTGAAAAATTGACATATACTTTTTATTTCGGATTCGGATTCTACTTTCAAAACTGGGATTATGAAAAATAAAAAAGAACTTTCTGACTTATTCTGGCTGAGTTATAGAATTTAGAACATGAGCACCATCGCCGATTTGCGAAACGTACCCATCTCTGATATTTTGACTATAACTCCGCCATTTTTTATCTGTTCTGTTCAAGCAACAGCTCATTCGAAAGCCTGATAAAAAGTAGGAAGTGACTGTTTAACACCCATATCAATTGGAGAACTGGAATTATGAAGGGTCAAAATTTTCGAGAAAATGCCACTTTCGACCCTTCCAACAGAATTTCGGTAACAATTCGGTGGTCACATGCGATAGAGAATTCAATTTCCCATAACGTGAGCGCAAAAACTTTGTTTTAAAAGTGGTGCAAAAGTTCCAAAACTTGAAAACAAGATGGCCGACCAGCCGCGAGCTTCTAGCCGTCAAAACTGCGCTTAAAAGCAAAAGTAAGATGATATATGGAGTCAGCGTCAAAAACTGCCTCAGATGCTATGCCTCTGAAACTTTTTAGAGGAATGAAAAAATTGTCGAAATTTTTCGATTTTTTATGTTTGCCTTCCGAGCAAAATCCTATCTCGCACTTCGTCTTCTTATTGTATGCTGTCGCGTGCGTGTATGTCTGTGCGTATGTGCTATGTTCTGTCTAAACGTGCTGGCGAATGAGTGTGTATGCATCTGTCTTTCTCTGTTGTTAACTATCATGTTACAATAGCAACTTTTTCCTTTCTAGAATAGTCGAAATGGGTGTTTTTCCCTCTTTTTTTTGGTACTGTTCTCATGTCTTTTATCCAGTTTTGTTTTTTTGTTTTTCTTTTTTCTGATCTTCTCAGAATATAATATAGTTTTTATAACAACACTCCTATGCAACAACCTTGAGATTTTCTCTTCTATTATGGCCATAACTCATTATGCTTTAGTTGTTTTCGCTACTCATCTCAGTGAGATGCTAGACGAGAAGAAGGAGTGGGTTCAGTCATCAGAAGAGCACTACCCAAAAGTGAAGATCTAAATCTTGATCTTCTCTGAGATAAGAGGGTCTATTTTCTTCCATGTTCAGTGTTGCCATTATTATTCTCTGATCCACCTTGTTTTCAAAAAACGACGAAAGACGCACACAAAAAACATATGACCGGACTAGCTATGTGATAGGGATGAAATGAGAGCTTTAAACTATGATATTCGTAAGCTACATGTCGTTTTACATTATTCATATGAAGCTGAGCATGGATAGAATGAAAATTTTTCCGGTTATAATAATCCTTCGGATTATTTTCTGGAGCCACGATTCAGACATGGGTTCCGTCAACAGCAGCAATATTTAACGCTCACTTAAAACCCGTGGAGATAATTGATTTGACTACTTACCACCGCATTGTGGCAATCCCCAAACTTCTCGAAACCCGCTCACAACTCTCTTTAATTCTTCCCCGGTTGGAAAATTAATAAATTTTCCTCTAAGTTTTTTAACCATTACATAGACGAATTCATCAAAAATGCTAATTACGCTAAGATTGGATACCCCAAACAAAAAAATCTCATATATCAACGTTATATCGTTCTTTTCTGTTCTCTTCTATTTTAGGAAAAAAATCTCTGGTTCACTCTCTATCGTTTCTTACTTTTCTTTTTTCGTTTCCGTGAATAAATCTATCAAATATAGGAAGCGCTTAAAGCGGTGAACAATGTGACCCTAAGTAGATACGGCTAGTTTCTCAATAAATCAAAATTTGAATAAATGGAAGAAAGGAGAGAAAAATGATTAATTACTAGTTTCAGTGTATTGGCTAAAATCAGTATCCAGTATCATACTATTTCCACTATTTTGTTTCCCTATTTGATAAGTATGCATACATTTAATCACGAGTAGAGCAGTCACACTACATTTAATCGCGATTAACACTAATCTTGATTAGGCTATTCATCTTTTAATCATGATCATCATGATTAACTACACATCGCACTACGAATTAACTGCGATTCTTAATCGTGATTAAGGCTGTAGTGCAACCCTAGTGTAAGTAAGCATTCAGCCATAGTGGCATTTCTTCAAGACCGTAGACTCGTTCTAATTTCTGCACCTGTGTCATCATAGATGGGTAGGTGGAATGGTACTATAACAGAGAGAGAAAACGAGAAAAAGAGCTAATAGCTAAGTAAGCTATTTTACCTTTTACTTGATCGACTACACGTAATATGTCTACTGTTGATTTCTGTTTAGTCACAGCTGAATCGCTCGCTGGTATGATTAAAGAACTCTCACAGGACTCCTTCTACGACAGTGGCATTGGTGATGCATCAAAGAGAGACAGTTTTGCCGATGGATTAGTCAACACCCAAACATTCTCCATCCTTAACTACCATGGTGATCAGATTTATATCTACGCAGCCATCTCAAACGAAAATGACAACAAGTTGGAACCACAGAAGTGGTCATTCTTCTATATACCAGTCAACACTCCTGAAAAAACTGGAAACAATGATTCCAAGTGGATCTGGTAATGATATACGGGAGAAAGTGAGAGAAGAAGTGACGAATAAGTACACCTTGGAAATCAATCTTCATTCAAAATTCTGGACAATTGCATCACTAATGGTTGAATCTCTTACTGCATTCATCGTGAAAGGCAGCAACTCTCCAGTTCCAGGTGTTCACCCTTATCGCATTATTCATCCGACTACACTGACGATGACATCTCGATTTCAGTGTTCAACGAAGAAGTAGCACAGGAAATCATTGAGAGCATCCAAGCCGACGACTATGAGATTGAAACAGCCTATTACTTCGCTGGTTTGGTAAAATTCTTCGCCTGCTCAACAGCCAGACCTCTTTTGTGTTTCGTTCACAGGTGTCAACTAATTTTATTTCCATATCGGGCGATCAGCTGAAGAGTGTTCTCAGTAAGACGCAATATTACCAATGTATGCGAATGATGTGACCTTACAGGAATAAACTCACTCACCACAGACATCGCATTGATAATCAATGATCTTTCTTAAGTCAGCTACTTTTGAATCTTTTAATTAAATTAAGTGTACGTCTCTTGCCAGATACCTAGAATATTTCGATAACGAGTTTGTTTAACTGCTGAAGAAACATTGTTTTGGGACGTGCTTGGTGGAACGTCGGGAGATGTCCTGAGAGAGCTATTATGAAAAGTTAGAAATATTCTACCGAGGATGTGATAGGACTAAGAACATTAAGTTTGCCCAAAATTTTCTAGGAAGAAATATTTTTCCGTATCTTTGGCTGTCTCTGAGGAGTCTTTTATTCAAACCATTTTCCACTTCACACTGTACAATAATAAGAAACACTGCACGCTCATCATTATATAAACAGAGAACGGGAGAGAGACAGAGACAGATACAGATATTGATGATTATCTATCTACCGAATGAAATGAGAGAAAGAGAAGATAATTGGTCTTTTACAATCATTATGTTGATGTGTCCGACATGGGCGGAGTAATGAATGTGTATAAACATTATCGCTAGTCGATATTTAAGTTGAAAAGAAGTAACATGTCTATAAAATGAGAATTGCTTGTCAGTCTAATGGATCTAATCTAAATGTCATCATTTATATTCATCAATTCTTGTTTTAGTTCCAAGCATATCTGACGTTGCTGTTGACAATATTGCACATTGGTAATAGTTTCAGCAATTCTCAATAAATTATAAGGGTAATAACAGATACAACAAACAGATTTTGGATTAAGTAACTCTTCAATATTATGGCTATTCTTATATTGCCGAGAAATATTTATTTCGACTTCTTGTTGTATGGGATCCAAAAGAAATTCATTGACAATGTGACAAATAGGACAGTTACAATTCATTTGAACAATATTTTGAAATGACCAAGATTCTTTAGCTGGAATTTCGACAAAAGATTGACGATTTAAAAATTCTAAACAGATAAAAATCAAAAATCAACGATAAATGTATGACTTGTACCTTACCTTGACAGTCATCATACAATGTGTTGAACCATATTTGTTGAATAATTAATCTGTTCTTTTTTAATATTTTTCCAAGAGTTGGTATTGTTTGTTTTCGAAATGTTTCTTGAATATTTCTCACATCATTTTGTTTCTGGACGAATTTTATAATATGTTTTGAAATGAGTTCTAATGATACTAAAAATCGCTCATCAAATAAACTAAGTAGATACAATATCAAACATAAGTTGTCTACATTTGTCTGACTATATTCATAAAATCTCTGTAAATTATCAAAAACCTTTGATAAATATCGGTTAACCATTACTAATAAAATCGATATGTTCATTACTGAATTTGTTGATGAATTTTGACGCTGTTCACCGCCAGTGATGGCAAAAGATGAAGGAAGACTAGAAGAATAAAGAGAAAAAATGTGTTACTGCATACTCTTTAAAACGTTTACCGAGTGGAAGAGTTGTTGATAAATCTCTTAGCAGCAGCTAAGAACAGAAAAAAAAACTTTTACTGGTCAGTTGAAACAACAACCATTTGTTTATTTTAAAATAAACAATCAGAGGCAAACAAGTAACTAGAGAAGTAAAGGTTATAGATAATGAATAGTTCCTAAATGATTACCAGTTACTTCATAAATAAACAGGCAGTTGACATAGTGAATTTAGGCTTTTACCTTGTTTTCGATTCGACTATTATTTTCGGAGCTGAACACAATGATTTTGTTTGTAAAACTAATTCCGGTAAAAATTCAGCACCCATCATTCCAATACTATCAGCATTAAATGATTCCATGTTAATAGTGAGCTCGAATGAATCATAAAGATAAAAGTCAAATTTATCCGAACCAATTCTATTTCCAATTGAACATAGAACAGATGGCAGCTGTTTGCCTGATAAAATTCCATCCGACAATGACTCTGTATTAGCCATCAAAGATAAAATCAAATTTGTGACAATCGATTTATCATTATCTGAAATTGTTGAATCATTAATTAAGAAAGATAATGATTCTAATACACTTGTTAAATAAAACGATGCACCCTCCTCCCAATTGAATTTATTGTATTTAAGTTTTGTTAAACATTCAACTAATTCAAAACATTCGTTCATCATAACATGTTGTCGTTGTTCATTCTGTTTACATTCAACAATTTCTTTACATATGTTTGATAAAACTTTAGTCATTTTTTCCGCTCCAACTATGTGCCATTTTCTATGATAAGGTATCAATATCACCGCACCTCTATGGTACCAATATTCATAATGCGCGCCCTCGTTTCCTAAATAAAAAAAACTATTTTAATGTGTATGTAAAGTGTAAGCGCGTGGAGTTAGTATGTATACATTTTTTTTGTACATCTCATTTACGATACATTTTTGACTTAGAACAAGAATTATTTGGTTGCTAGTGATTTAAAAATAGTGTAGTTTTATGAATGGCTGTGAATTATTCTTAGACGTAATTCTTGGTATCTAAGTTATTACCAGTTGTTAAATTGTTAAGTATATGAGGTGGAACTTCCCCGAAAAGAAAAGAAAATTGTGAAATAAGAATAAACTATCCTTGGTCCTTTATTGCAGACGATGTAATTTTAATAAATCATGAAGATGATCCTTTAAATTGTGCGCTAAAGTTAAATAATGATCTACTATCCGTTCCAAATGGTCAGACCGCTGGTTGCTTTTTGAATAACTTTTGATAGGAATGAGATAGAGACCTGCGATTTTCGCTGTCCAATAACCAAGACTTGAGCAGAACTTTCCACAAGCGAAAGCAACTTTTGACAAAATTCCAGAGAGCGGATTTTCAGAGGATCTTTGGAAAACTAGCTCTGTTCTCAGAAAACTAACATACAATGTTAGTAATTTTTTTGCACGTGTAGATAGTTCCGACGTTACTCTACAAAATTATGCAAATCCCGGCTCTTTAGCTATCGTCGTTCGGGCAGGGCTCGCTTTCCCCGAGCACGTGACAACATTTGTTTTTGTGTAGAAATGAATATAACTTCGTCAGAGGCATTGTTGTGAAAAACCGGTTTTTCGCCTGTTACTAGCAAAAATTAAAATCCTTATATCTCGATCAAATCTCATGATGACTCAAGGAAATTTTCAAGAAAGGCTTAAAAAGTGCCATATGTTGTTGACCACGCCGAAAAAGTGATCCAGCAGAACACTGATGTTCTGAGGTTTTTCAGAAGGTTTCTGGAAAACCGTAAGCCAATGCCCAGCTCACATTCACCTTTTTCGTCTTCGATTATGTTTTATGAGCTGTCTTGAGCGTTTTCTGAAAATTTCCTTGAGTCAGCATGAGATTTGATCAAGATATAAGGATTTTAATTTTTGCTAGTAACAGGCGAAAAACCGGTTTTTCACAACAATGCCTCTGACGAAGTTATATTCATTTCTAC